CTTCCCGGCAGCACGGCCGAGTGGGTACATAGCGTTGCGCTGCCTTGTGCTTCCAGCGTTTGGGTCAGTAGATGGGTGGAAAGCTTTAGCCTGCATTTTCGTGTGTGACTTTTTGTGTTTTTCTTTTTAATTCGTGGTTTAAAACTAACTCTTAATAATCAAGCTGAACAGGTTGCCACAGATTCCTTTGCCTTCGAGTGACCCTGACCAAGTTGGCTTCTCAGACTACAGACCGCTTACTCATAAAACTGAATACTTTAGATAAAGTAGATAGCAAAGCTCTGGACAGCAGCTCAGATCCAGGTGCGTCCCTCAGCCTGCATTGAGATTTCTTGTGTGGTCTTGAGTGAGTCTTTTAATCCACTTTGTGCATCAGCTCCCTGGTTGCAAAATGCTGAAGCATTTCCCAAAATAAAATGTAGTGGTAACTGAGGTACTTGATAGTCCTCAGCAATGGCAAGCAAAGTAACCAATTAAAAAAAAAATAAAAATCTAAGTGACTAAAGTCTGTTTTTTGCCAAGAGGTAGATATTTCCTTTTTGTGCTTAAATTAATAGAAAGGAAATATTAAAAATTAAGCTGGATAAAGCATGGTTATAATGCTAGTAGGCATACTAAACTCAGAAAGCTAGTCTGTGTGCCTTGGGACTCTCCTTCCTTATTGCACTGCATTGTGAAATCCTGTAAACGTTTTGGGGAGTTTAAATTCCAGCCATCTTAATTAGTGTCTAAGAGCTGAATGGGTCTTGTTTAACACCAGGTTTTATGGCCCTCTCTTCAAAGACTGAATGTTGATACGGGTCTTACAATGGATCTAAAAGTATTGCAGATATTTATATTAGAGGCATATGTACAACCTACTTACAGAGGCACCTGTTGTGTACTACAAAAAGTGTGTAAGATTAGCATACATTAAAAACTACTTCAGATGTTACGTTACAAATACATGATATTATAGACTGAACAGGAATTAGTTGATGGCATGGTAATAAACTTGGAAATAATATATGATTCTCTGTTCAGTGGCAGTTATGAACAAAGAGAAAAACAACCCTGCTTAGAGATCTTAATGAGTCATGGATTTTATCATAAATTAATACTAATGAGTTCCACTTGAAGTATGTTCTTTTTGATGTTTTTTATAATTAAAACTGTTTGGGTGGTCTGTCTTAAATTGACTTTCTTACTGTTCAAAGAGAGATCCTTTTTAGGTGTGCATGTGTTTAGTTGTGTTTTTTTTTTTTTTTTTCCAAGAGGAGGAATTTGGGCTTATATCTTCTGGGGAGTGCAGAACACTGGAGTTTGCAGTTTTATCTATATAGTACTGCCTGCACAGGGAGCGCTGGTGAAAGCTGAGACTCCCCACATAATCCTGTTTGGTGTTTTTTTTTTTTCTTCCAAACTATTAATAGAACAAAATACTAAAATGCTTAAATATTCGTCATGAGTAACTGGGCTGCTTTTGAACTGAAAACAAAAGCTGCCTGCTGAGATGATTTTTTTTCTTAAAGGCTAGTCCCAGGTGTGTTAAATAGGGACTTCTCTCCTTTTTCTTTCATACTCCTAACCAGGACATACCCAGTGGGACCAGTATCTCTTTTGCGGTCATTGCAGCAAACTATTCTGTGAGGAAAACACAGATTATGCTATTGAGCTGTTCTCTCTATTTTTAGAAATTATTATGATTCTGTAAGTTTTGTGAAAACTGGGAGGGGTAGGTAAAGTATACCCAAGTGGGTGCCTCCCACCAGGCAAGGCTTGGAGAAGCTGGCCGAAGTCACCTCTTGCACGCTCAACTCAGCGGTGGCTCTCGGTCCTGGCAGTGCAGCTAAGGTAGTGCCGCAGTAGTGCCTGTCTGCCAGAGCACCGCTTTATTTTTGTCCAGCGATTATCAGGAAGGCTGTCCAAGAGGAGCTAGGGATTACAGGGCAAACAACACAAAGCTGTAGGAAACCAGGTTTTGTCAGTTGTGTTGTAGGCAGATCAAGCTTGCTCGTGTAGTGCCATCTCCTCTGCAGGTTTTCTCTAAGAGGCCTTAAAGCAGCTCTTGTCAACTTGAAATACAGTATTTTTGAACATTCTTGCTGAGCTTAATTTTGAGTCTTTAATCAGATGCTGTCTGCTGCCAGTGACTTTGCTTTGCTTTTGAAATGCCTTCTAGGCAAGGAATAAACATCGGAAGTTCACTTATCTATCTGAAACACTGTTAATCTGTGAATAAACTGGAAACAGCCATATTAATTTGAAATGTTAGTTGTAGGCCCCTGAATTTGAAAGCAAAAAAAAAAAAAGTAAATGTAAAAATCTTCTTCTGATCTCCAGGAATCTAACGATTAGCAAGAAAGTTTCAGGTGTTTGGGATGACAAAAGACAACTCAATTTAGCAGGAGAGAAAGCTGGTACAGAGGAGCCTTACAAACCCTCATGCAAATGGAGTTTTATTGTCACTGAAAACGAAAAGATAGCAAACAAAAACCCCACTAAAAGACAAAGCAATCCTCCCCCCAAGCAAAAATCCCCCAAAACATTGTCTGCAGTGTTGTGTAACAAAAGTGATAGTGTTATGCAAGCGGGGGAAGAGTCAAAAAGTGAAAGCACTACGAACAAAAGCTGTGAAGGGATTGCCACCCTGTGTGCAGGCAGGTTTGTGGCTGGGTTTTGTTGTCTTTGTTTTAATGGGGTGCTGCTAATTACCAACGTGAAGACACTGGTTTCAGGATTTAGACAAATTCCATTGAGGTAAGCCTGGCAGAGGAGGGTATAATGTGGAAATGTCGAGTAAGGACCAAGAAATAGGTAGCAGGGGGGAGAGGAGATGTAGAGGAGCAGGGATCACTGGGGGGTTAGGGACCCATAGCTGTGGTGAGAGAAGGGAGCAGGGTGCGGGTCGGGGGAGTGCTTGGGCTGTAGTAAACTGCAGTTCCTGGCTGTATCCTCCTGGGTAATTAAGGCATTAGGAGCATATAAGCATATATAAGCATATAAGCATAAAGTCACTTTACACATCAGTTGCTGCACTGTGCATGTCTGGTACTTGTTTCTTCCCTTCCCTGGTACTTATTTTACGTCAGCTTTTCTTTTTACAGTACTTTTTAGTCTTTCAAGTGGAGCGCATATTCAGCACATGAAGAGCAAACTGTTTGCCAGTTTAGTAGCATTTCAGCTGTTCTTGAAACCTCAAGTAGTACACAGTGGAAAAAATCCTTGAAATGGTTTACCTATGACAAAAAAGCTTTTCCCAGAATGAAAATACAGACTCTTCCTGAATACCATGTTGCAGTGCTTGTCTTCCCTCCCTCTGCACTTTTTTTTTTCCCCCAGAAGATAATAGGTTTGGCTCTGGAAACTCACTTCCAATAAGGGTGGAGTGAAATTATTTTCGTTGTTTTCTGCCAAAATGAAATATAATGTGTCAAAATGAAAATTGTACAAATATCGTTGAGCCAAGTACTTGTAACTAAAATGTGTTTTTAATTTTTTTGCAGCTGATACTTTGTTTTGCTCATATACCAATGACTTTTTTTGTGTGCGTGTATGTGAACTTCTTGGAGAAATGCTAAGGACTGGAGACTGGGACAGTACCAGCTTTTATAAAGTCTTTTTGATGTCGCTGAAATGAGAGGAACTCACCTGAAGTGTCTCACATGACTGTGTTCAGGGCAGAAACATCGTGTGAAGTTTGCAAGTTGCTGGGTAAGGGGTTAATTGAGCAGTTCAAAACATTCTGTTTATTTTTTCAGCTATATTGTAATTTAAGCATCTTCTGTCAGGTACTCCTGATTAGTTAGTAGTTTGTCAGCGCTCTTTAGTTTAATGTTTGTGGTTCAGTTTGAGGGTACTTTACTCAAAAAAACCTTAAAAATAATTTGCTAATGGTATTAATTGCAATTTGGGAAATTTGAAACTGTACTGGAAAGGTATATACTATTTAAGGGAACATGATCAAGTTAAAGCACAGCACTCTGAAAATTTTGTGCTGACATTTTTTTGAATAGTCTCCATCTTCATATAGGTATGAGATACACATCTCCAAACTTCTTGTTTGCTTGAGCAGCAGCTCTACTGTGTCTGGACGTTTCCTGGCTTTCAGGAGTAGCAGTCTATGACTATTAAACCACTCAGGCTGAGGAAGGTAGATGGTAAAGTTGGAACAGTTATAAACTCACTGCTCAGTATATATAGATATCAGGCTGACAGTGTTGTTCTGAGAGCACTTCTTGGAGTTCCCAGGGGCAGATCTATCTTGGGGGCTCCCTTGAGTTCACAGTAACCCTGCAGAGAAAGTGTGGGCTCCAGTTCTCTCCCCCTTATGTTTTAGTCATGCTAAATGACTTTGACTTACTATAGTTACTTGCTGTATGCGGAGGGGGGTGGAGGCACAGGTGTCTGAATCCATATGCCTTTGGATTTAAAAATTCTTGAGCATGCTAGCTCTTACAAGAGTGGAAGGACACAAAGCCGTAAGTCAGCCAGATGCTGAGAGCATTGCCGAGTCACCAGAGCCGTTGTGATTTGGGGCTTCAGCTCTCATCAGCGCATTTCCCTGTCTGATCCTAGTAATGGGGCACTTGCTGAATGGCTGTCCAGTGGGGAGGACTTTGTGCTGAATCCCTCTATGGTCTGAAGCCATTGGCTCGTTGATAAAGGTTAACGTTCTGAGGATTTTAGTAGTATGGTTTAGGATTAGCATTAGGACCACCAAACCTGGTCCCTGTGATGCTGGGTAGGTGATGTACAGAGATTAAAACCTCATGGTTGAAGTATTTGCGGGGCAATGAAAGGTAAAAAATGCATACAGAGAGTGTTAAGGTGGTACTGGAACACGTGGCTCTCTATGTTTTTCTTCATATTTTGAGGGTTAAGGAGAAAGTGTCCAGACTGGTACTTCTCAGCTCCTTAGGTTTTCACATCTTCCTTTAATGTTTGCACCTTCAGCGTAAAACCTGTAGTATAAACAAGCTAAGGCTTCAGATGGGGAGTTTGCTTTTCTTAAGATCCGTATGTGGCAGTCTCACAATCATTGAGCCCTTATGGGATCTGTGCATTGAAAGTTGCTGAGCTAGGCAGTTGCTGTGGAGATCAAAGAAACTGAAGACATAAAAAGGAGGGCAGTGGAAATGCTGCTCAACTAGTACACTGGTTAAACAGACAATTTACTGTGGAAGTAACTGTGCTGCACTCACTTTTATTAATACTCTGTTACTGCTTCTGGTTTTGTCCCTAGCTTCTTAACAGACAGTAGCTTTCTCTTTAAGGCTTCTGAAGGCCATGTTCAACTGAATCTTTCATTGGGTTTATTTAACCATCTCCTAAACAAAGCTGAAAGTACAGTGTAAGGCAGTGATTCCTGCGCTGTAGGCTGTGGAATAGATACAGTATGACATGGCAACATAGCTACTGACAAGAGGTGGTAAAGGTTGACACTGGTCTTCTGATCCCGAAGTTTGGGAACCCTTCATCTAAGCTATGGCAAGCCGCAGGCAAAAGGGTTTGTAAAGAAAATCTGTCTTTACTCAAATTGTTATCAAAGAATATAGTGTTTCTATTATGCAGGCAGTGCCTGAATAATAAAGAACTGGATACAAAGGCATAAGAAAGATTTTTTTTTTTTTTTTTTTTAATTTTTTTTTTTTTTTTTTTGAAACATTTAGAACTTAGAGTTCTCTGTTTTCAAAGCATTAGCCTTGATGATTGGTTTCTGCAGTGTATTTATGAGAATATATAATAAATTAATTAATCAAATGCTTGCTTTATATAGATTTACATTAAATTTATTTCTCCCAATAGTGCCTCTGAGTTTAACTCAGTGTTTCATTATGTGGTAGGTGTTCTGCTTTGCTGAACATGTAATAGCGCCCATTTCTGTGATACTGTTGATGTTGACTCATTTAAGTATAAAAAAAAAAAATTGAATGAAAATCAAATGCAACTCAAAAATTAAATTCTCTCCAGAGCAGATTAAAATAAAATCCAGCAGAGTTCTGGGGTGGGAATGTGTAGATGTGATCCTGTGTGTGTCCATATACATATGTGTGCAAGTGTATGCATATTTTAAAATGCATCCTTCCAGGAACGTGGCTTATGGTCATGTTTTTCAGTTTGGGCAGGGTTAGATGACAGTCTTGAACTTCGTGAGTCTCGTTTCTGAGACTGATAGGATCAGAAATCCAATGAGGTATGAACACCTGAGAGGTAAAGGCTTTTATTGCACATGGAACAACCTCTGAACAAAGCAAAGAAAAAACAGCGGAGCATAGTTTATCTGTGTTCTTTAGATAATGTCCTTTTTTATGGAATCTTTGCACAATGTTGAAATGAAAGAAAGAAATATCTGTCAGAGTTCTTGTATTTGTACTGTGTCATGAAGATGAGAAAATTTACATGGCCCATGTTGTTTTCAGGTTTGCTGTAAACTACCTACCGTAGCTATAATGACACCAGCCCTCAGAGAGGCAGCAACAAAAGGTCATGGTATCCACTTGTCACCTTCTTTGTCCTCTAGAGCTATGGAGTCTGATACAGCTTTGTGCATGGAAAATTCCAGAGCAGTGGAAGAGAAGATAAAAGAGGACTCCATCGCACAGATTACTTGCTCAGTCCTGGGGTTCCCCACTGCTGAGCCCAACCTCAGGAATGATATCTTCAGTGTGCAGCATTTTGGTTCTCCACCATCCTCCAAGCGCTATCAGTCTGTCTTGTTAATGAGTACAAATTCTGCATTTAGCAACAAAACCGGTAAGCAAACGAAAGCGGGAGAGCCCGACTGCTCCAAGATGAGAAATTCATTACATAATGGTGCTGACGCATCCTTCGGTCAAATTAGTCATTCAGAACCTGAGGAACAGGTCAAAGGGGAAGCATTTTCAGAGACCACATCTCCGAATTTGGCAGAAACGCAAAGACTTTCGGATTCAAATGTAACCGAATCCAGTAATGCAGAAGAAATGCAGCTTTTAAATGGTAAATGGTACAAGAAGAATGGTTTTTTGGGTAGGGCTTTGGAAGTCTGCGCTGAAACAATAAAAGGGGATTTATTACACCAAATTCTTCACGGGCCTTCAGAAGGGATTTTGAGCTGCACCCCGGAGGAGGTGTATGCTCGCTTACTCCAGTGTGTCACTAAGCAACAAATGGAAATCAGTCGCGCCAAAAGAACTCAGAAACGTTTACAAATGCTCCTGGCAAAGCACGTTATCAAACACTGTGATCAGCAGCTGAAATGCTTTGTGAAACATCAGCTACAAAGAATGAAGGTTTTCCATGAGCCAGCCAGATTTTTGAGCAGTAGCTCCCTCAGGTGCACTGAAGGTTGGCCAGAAAACAACACAAGTACTTTGGAGAGTAGTTCGAGTACGGACGTACAGAACGGAGTTAATGTTGCACCAGGTGAAATCCGGGGGTTTGCACTTTCTACTGGAGGGCTGCTGTCTCGCGTGGAGAAGGATCTGGACTCTGATGCAACATGTAGCAGCTCAGATGAAGATGGCGAGGAACAGACTGTAAGAACAACTGTGGAAGCGTAAGTGTTAAATTCCTGCTAGACTCATGTGCTTCATGCTTATAAATCAAGATGGAAGGGTCTAGACCTGCAGATTCCTTCTTGTGTGAGTAACCTCACTCAATAGATAGTCCTACTGAACTCAGCAGGACTGCCTGTGTGAGCTAGGTTTGGCAGGGGCCAAGCAGAAAGTAAGAACTTGTAATGACAACATTTAAGGAACTGTTACTTTGCTAGACTGTAGAGAGCTAGATTTTGTACTGTGCTCTTATCAGTTTGCATTACATTCATTATATACATGCTAATTATTCAATACTTCAATGATGCTGTAAATAAAATAGTGATAGCAGTGCTATAAATGATGGGTTTGGCTGGTATGAAAATAATTTTATTCTGGAATTATTAAGAATTAGTCAATGTTAGGATCTTGAAATCCACTACAATGCGATGGAAGAGTAAAAATGATCATCTGATGCAGGCGTCAAGCCATCCAGTATTTGGAGGTTGTATATTGAAAAAGTTTGGTTCTTTGAATTATAATTTTAAAAAATGTTAATTTGCTTACTGACGTTGTTCTGCTGCTGTGAATGAAGCTTAGCAGAGGTGTTTTTATTTTTGCTGGTATCTTTTTCAAGAAGAACCAGAGTGAAATTAATATCATTAACTAATACTGTCTTGAATTGACAGGGATCCTGTCAGTACAAATTATTGTAGCTTTGGAAATCAGTGGTGAGTAAGAGAAGTAGACAGTAAAATTGTTCCCTGATGGTGGTACAGCCTCTGTTTTTTCTTTTTTTTGTTTTCCTTTTTTTTCCCCCTACCTTGCTACACTTTTATCACAAACTCTTTGGTCAAGAAATTTTAGAAAGCGGTGAAAGGATGGCTGCCTTCCCCTTCCTATGGCTGGAGAGAACAGAGTATGTCTTAAGGTCTGTTAGGATGTGATAGGACAGTGACACATGGAATAGAGCTTCACATAAACATAGCACAGCAGCTTGGGAGGAGCTTCGTTGCACCTACGTTTCTAGCACTTGAAGTCAGGACTGGTTTTGTGTTTCCTGGTATCTTCTTACAAGCTGCTGTTAGGGAGTGTCTAGAGAGCATTAAGTGTGACACTGGTGTTTGAGGAAAAATAAATATTTAAAAACACTTATTCCTTGGTCTGTTTCTTGAAAAGCATAATGTTCAGAAGAAATCAAGGAAGCTTCATCTTAAATTGGAAAAGAGCTGTGCCCTGTTACATGTTTATAGCTTCAGTATAGCATGGTTTTATCAAATCGCTGCTGCATTTGAACTCTGTAGGCCTGGAAAACAGAGGAGAAAAGTGCAAAATAAAACTAGTTTTCATTTTCTTTTACATATTGTCAGAATGGTAAACTCTGTACTAAAGTCCAACCAAAGCATAATGACTTGCCAGCTGAGTTAGGATCGCCTTAAATATTTGAGTTTGCAAAAGAATTATTGTCCTTTTGAAATACTTTAATGAAAAAACAGCATTTTTGGCTCTTCTCAGCATAGGAGAATCCGCATTCTTCTCCTAGCTGATAGTTTGAACGTCTGAGTAATAGCTCTGCTTCTAGGGCTCTTAGCTTGTGATTACTTGAACTGAAAAACTGATGAGAAACTCTTAATTGTGGAAGGGTACTGGATAATGCAAAACTTGGACCGAAGTTCTATGCGAGGGTTTTCTTTTTTCTTCTTGCCAGGGACAGTTGAGTTTCTCACTCTGCATTGCCAGTCCTGCCAGTCCTTTACCTTTATTTCGTCTTGTGGCTTTTGAATTCCTTAAGTTATCTTTCCACATAAGGCTTACTCAGTTTGTTTTCTTTCACTGATGAAAAAATCCACCAAGTGTTATTAAGTACAAAGACATCACCTTTGGCTCAGGAAATCCCCAAGCTGCTGTTGCTGGCAGCTGAGGGAGTGTTTTGGAGAAGCACTGCTCCCTCCATGCCTGCCCTGTTGTAAGACTGTTATGTTGGCCACTGCTAAGAGGCAGGAGACTGGGTAGAATCTATAATTTGACTCGGCGCAAGCCTTTATTTGTGGGTGGGTTTTTTCCTCCCTTTTTAATGTTCTTACTGCTGAATAGCAGTCGAGCAGCAGCAGTGACGAAGTTAGCAATGTGCGGTAGCTAAGGCCTTGCTTCACTGGCAGCGCGAGAATCACTGGTGTTTGAACTGTGCTGCTGGGCCAGCAAGCTCAGAGTTAAAGAACTACCTAATTTAAGCAGAAGACTCTCGTCTGTGTGCACAGGCTGAGGCAATGCTTGAATTGACATTACAATGAGGGCAGACTGTCTCTTGTTTGAATTTATCATTATCTTTGGCTTGGAATGGTTTTCTTCATTCCTCCAACTTTTCTAAGATCTGTCGTCGTGGCTAGAAGGCAGCACTTTTTCTTCTAGGTGACAAAGGTAAGTCAGTTATTCACCAGTGCAGCTGCTGAGATTTGCTGTTTCCTGAGCTTTACCACTTTAAGGCTCTTTGGATTGCCTTTCACCTGGACAAAAGAAACAAAGTTAACTCCCATTTTAATTTCTAAGTGGATTTACATTCTTTCAAATGCCTTTCTTTCCTAGGGAATTGACTCTTAGTGCTTTCCAGAAATAATGTGATCATGTGGGTGAGTGAATACTTATTTCCTTGCCGGTGACTTATTTTTCATAGTGAAGACTTCTACTAACCTGGAAAGACTCTTCCTCTGTGATATTCTTCATAATACTTAACTGTGGATGTTACAAGGTTCTATTAATGCAGTGATGAATGGGGAAAAATGTTTTGATTTTGCCTATATGTATACATATATGATTGTGTTTAATTTTGGGGTATAATCACACTGGTGGCTGGCCATTATCATGACTGCAGTGGCTTGCCACTGTCAAGACTGCAGTGCTTTTTACCCTTTTCTGGGAGGGGGGAAGGTGTCAATCCATTGTGCAAGGCAGGGGAGGAACCTGCAGTTACTGTGTTTACCTGAGAACAGTCTGTTTCACATCAGGAGGGAGAAGTTGATTCCAATTCTTCACAGTAGGAAAAAACCTGGAGCTATTTTTAGCATTTTGAACCTGTTGATTCTCATTATCCTGAAAAGAGTTTTGCCCAATGAGTGTTGACATAAGCTCTTCTGAGCTGTATCTCACTGCTTTGTGTCTCGAGTACGATTGTCTTCATCCATCTATTTCAATACCTTTGTTGTTTAGTTGCAAATAGCTGTTATAAGATATTTAGACCATTGTTCATCCCTTGTGCATTACATAGGCAGTCTCCTCAAGACAAGAAAGATCCTTGGTCTGCTGGTGAAGGCAGTTCTTCTAGTTGACAATTCACAGTACTTGCTGAACCTCCCTAGTTCCTAGAGTAATTGGAAAGCCTCATCCCATTTCAAGAGCTTAATCAAAACACATTTGGTCCTTTGAGTATTTGCTAAAAAGGAATACGAAAAAACAGTTGGCTCTTCTCAGGAATTTTGTATTTTTGCTGCTAGTGTCAGCTCATGAATGTGTTTAACCTGTCAGTTTTCATGGAAGGTTTCTTAGGCAAAGCACCAGATTTCCATCAGTAATTTGTAGTGTATTCTAGTACTGTTCCAGCCTTTGGGTGTAGTAAATTCCTGAGACACTGCACAGCGGATATGGTAGTACTTCCCTCTGGTTTCTCAAAGGCATATGTTTGGTGCTGTTCGCTAGTTCCCTGTTAGGCATTAGCAACCAAAGTGGACGAAGGGCCCGAGGAGGGCATCACAAAGCCGAGTGTAAGTAATTCCTTCAGGAATTCACAACTAAGATCAACCACTTAAAATGCAATGTAGACAGTATTTCACCAGCTAAGTTTACTTGGAACTTGTTGATCTTCTTTGCGGTTCATGAAGATGGAAGATTATCTGCAAAAATGGTCACAGGTTTCAAACAAGGTTATTTGGGGGAGGATGTGAGCTTGACATTTTTTCAGCAACACAGCTCTGCTCTGAGAGCTATGTATTGCATGCTTCCAGGCCAACGCTACATCCTTATTTATATATTTTGTGTGTGTACCTGATGTGGTTAAAAGTTCCGGTTGTTTACAGTATACCACAAAGAAGCCTGATGCCAAGGTGGTTATTTGGGAAACCTTTAAAGTTACAGCCTACAGAGTTTTTCTTCTACATGCACTACATGAATGATCTTCCAAGAATCAAAAAATACATCACTGGGGTTCTTTGAAGGCATAGCTGCTCACTCCGTCTAATAGTAACGCATGTACCTAACTGATGAGAGAGAAAAGCTGCTTACAATAGGTTTTTCTGCAAAATAAGTAGATCTGTCTACTCGTGAAAAGTCCTGTGCCCTGTTTCCCCAATCCTCCTTCCCCCATCTTAATACAGTCCTTTTGCACCATTTGGTGGAATTTTTTTCCTTCTAAAACGTTTGCATGCATTTCCTCTTGATTTTTGAAAGACGTGTTTTACTGATTATCCTCCAGCAACCTCAAGCCTGACGAAGAAGCACTGTTGTATTTTTCCATGCCCACAGGGTTTATTGTGCCTGGAAACTTCTACAATGCATGTGCAGAGAAAGGAAATCTTACTACTTTTTTTTTTTTTTTTTAATTTTTTTTTTTTC